CAGTGCATATATATTTATAATGTTATATCTTGTTATAGAATTGTTTCCCTAACAAATATGTAAATGACCTTCTTTCCCTCTTGTGCTCAGTTTTGGCTTGAAGTCCACTTTGTTTGAAAGTAGCATAGCTACTCGTATTTTGGGGTTCCTGTTTAATGGAATATTCCTTTCCATCCATTGAGTTTTAATTTTTTTTTGAACTGTTTCTTACATACAGCATGACATTGGATTTTGCTTTTTGATCCAATTTGTCATTCTGTGTATTTTGATTTGGAAATTGAGATCATTCATATTGAGAATTGTTACTGAACTGGATTTATGTATTTTTGTCATTACATTATTTTCCTGCTCCTGATTCTTGTTTTAATTCCCTTTTGCTTAAGTACTTACCCTGCCTGGTATATTTAACTCTGTTAAACTGTTAGGGACTGTTGGCCTCACTTTCTCTTTGTAGGATATACTTGGGAAATCCCCCCACCCTCCGCTTTTATCTTTTTTTTTTTTTTTTTAATATATTTAGTACAGGGACTACAGGGTCTCACTATGTAGATTGGACTCATAGTGATTATCTTGTTTTCAGCCTCCCAAGTGCTGGGATTACCAGGGTGCAGCCCCTGTAATCAATCAGTGTTTCAATGTACCCCAGGTGCAGGGCTGGCACAGCATGCCAAGGATCGAACCTTGGCCATTGGGCTTTGCCTAAGCAGGCACTTTAGGCTGCAGAGCTATCTGGCCAGCCCCCCCCCCCCCGCTTTTTTTTTTTTAAAGACAGGGTCTTCTACGTAGTTTAGGCTGGTCTTGAACGCACTGTGTAGCTCAGGCTGGCCTCAAACTCATGGTAATCCTTCTGCTTTAGCCTCTTAAGTGCTGGGATTACAGCCATGTACAGTCATGCCCAGCAAGAATTTTTTGGAATGCTGATTTGGTAATGAATATCTTATGGTGGTGTTTGTCATCAAAAGACTATATTTTCCATCAATTTTGAAGATAGTTGGTAGATTATATTAGTTCTTTGATGAAGGTTAGTTTTTAAAAATTAAAAATAAATTGTAAATTTATTTCTTGAGATGCAAGGTCTGTGCCGTGTTGCCCAGGCTAATCTTAAACTTGAAGTGATCTTTCTCCCTCAGCCTGTGGAATGCCAGGATTATAGGTTCATGCTACTATGCCTGGCAAAAAGTTATTTTCTATTTGGGCTTGAAACTCTTCAAGATGTCCTGGCGCTTAAGAGTTTTTGTTAGGCAGTCTGCTATAATTCCAGTGGTTTTACCTTTGTGATTTATTGCTTTTCTCTAACCGCTTTTAAGATTATGTCCTTATGTTGCACTTGTAGGATTTTGACTGGGATCTTGACGGGGGTATGTCTTGGAGAGGCTCTTTTCTGGTTGTGGCTATGTGGTGGTCTGTAAGCCTCACTTGTAACATTCTTTCCCCGTATTTGCAAAGTTTCCTGCTATTTCTTTAAGGAGTTTTTTTTTTCTTTTAATGTCATTTGTGCTCTCTTCTGATTTTCACTAATTCTAGTCATCTAGCAGTTGTTGGCTCTGTCCCCTGTGTTCTCTTAACTTTTTTTTAAGGTATCTCTGAGTATGTGATCATCTGTTTCAGCACTGTAGTGTAGTCCTGATACACTGTCCTCATATTGGTCACTTCTGTTGCTCATGCTACTAAGGGAAATTTTGTCTCCTGTATTTCTGTTTGGTATGTTTTCATGGCCTTCAATTCTTTGCTAAAGTAGTCATTCCACTTTTAAGACATTTTGTTTAGCTCAGCTAGCTTTTTATTAGTGTTTCCTATAAGCTCATTGATCATTTAGCTCATTATCTGTTTCATAAAAAGAAAGTATAATTTTCAAAATTAGGTTATGAATCCTCTACATAAGTCCTAAAGCAAACACCTTATTAATCTGTTTTTTTTTTCTGTTATCTTTTTGTTTAATTAAGCTGTTTAGCTTTTGATCCCCCCCCTTCCATTGGTGCCTGTTGGCTCAGCTTTGGGTATCAATACCTAAATCTGATTAATAGGTCATCAATAGGAAGGAAATCAAAAGTTTTTGGAGGCATTTTGTTGCCTTGTTTTCTTATGTTCGTGTGTGTGTGTGTGTGTGTGTGTGTGCGTGCGCGTGCGCGTGTGCACATGTGCCTTGGTCCTGAGGATGGTAGGTCATCATTCATAAAGACTTCTTGCTGTTGAGGAGATAACTTTTGTTTTTTAGTTTTTTGGCGGAACCGGGGATTGAACTCAGACCCTTGCGCTTGCCAGGGAAGCCCTTATTCTACTGAGCCATCTCCCTGGCCAAGGAAATCACTTTTGTAGTTGGTGTCTGCTTTCCAGTGTTCCAGGGATGTGCTCTGAATATGATCATCTACGATTTTGCTTGTACCCCAAGATTTAAATCTTCCATTATTTTCAAAAGGGGAGGGTACAGTATAATTGACCTAACAATCAGTTCTCCAGAAGCATCTTTGTTGATGACACAAAGATAAACCAGATATAGGTATATAATTAAAGCGAATTAATAGCAATCTGAGATCAGCAACAGTAATAGAGTTAAAGAAGCAATGGTTGTTGATATGCCACTAGAACCAATGAAAGGTACCACTGTACCACCTTTAACAATAATTATAATACCAACACAAAGACAAACCAAAATATTGACAGAGACAGTTATTAAACACATCAGTTATGCAGCCATTAACAATTGAAATAAAGGGGCCAGCAAGATAGCTCAGCAGACTAAAGCACTTGCTTAGGCAAGCTCAGGCAAGCACAGGCGCCTGATAGCACATTCCGCACCAGTCCCGCACCCAGAGCAGGCTGAGCGGTTCAGAGTTCTGGCATGGTGGTGCACACCTGTAATCCCAGCACTGGGGAGGCTGAAAGCAGGAGGATTACTATGAGTCTGAGCTGCATAGTGAGACCCTGCAACAACCAAATACATATTAAAAAAAAAAATGAATTCACCAACAAGAGTCAGCCGAATAAGGATTAATCTTAATGGTAATCTTAGTAATTCTAATAGAGAAAATGAAAGAAGTAAAATTAAAAAAATAAGAGAAAGATATGAAGAAAAGAGAAAGGATTCTGTTAAAAAGAAAAATATATAGAATTAGATAAAATAACAAATAATGAGAAAAAAAGATGAAAAAGTAAAGCAAAAGAATAGAAAAAAATTAAAAAGGCGTTTAAAAATTAAAAGACAACCTCCTCAAACCCCCTTCAAAAAAAACAAAACAAAAATTTCCAAAAAACCCAGTTGGGGGGTGGTGGTAAGAGAATGAGTCCAAAGATATATCTGTGTTTTTATTTATTTATTTTGTTTATTTATTTATTTTTTTGCGGTACCAGGGTTCAAACTCAAAACCTTGCACTTGCCAGGCAAGCATTTATTCCACTGAACTATCTCCCCGGCCCAATATATTTGTGTTTTTGAATGAGTTCTTTCTTTTAAGCATCTATCTGAAGTATTGAAATCCACCAGAAATGAGTCAGGGATAGTGAGTCACTACTAAAACCTGTTTTGTTCCTACATTTAGGTTTGTGGGTGTGGTTCTGAGTCCTGTCCTGCCTTTTTGTTAGATGTGGTTGTTCAGTGGTATCCTTCCTAGGACTGTATTCATTCCAGATGCTCCCAGTTTCCATGCCCCTGTGTGCATCCCAAGCCATGGCCTTCTGTCCTGTGGGTTTGTAATGTGCTTCCTAGTCCAAAGGTCCCTCTGTCTATACTCCCTCAGCTGTGGCAACTGTCCAGACTGAGGCATATACCTGATTATGTTGGCAGGTGGGGAAAACAAAAACAGACTACTGAGCTTTGTGTTGGGTATAGGTGGTAGGGTGACTAAGGAGTGGAGTTAAGCAGTCTGTTGGACTACAAGTCAGCACTTTCAGACCTAGCTCACTCTGAAAGCCACTCATGACCCTGGTTTCTCATCTTGGAGGGTGGAATGCCTATGTCCTTGGGCTGAGCTTAAACCTCTTAGGATGTCTATATGTAGCTTGCACCCTCTTGAATGTGTCTTATGGCTGAATCCCACACAGTCACTGTCCTGGGCAGTACCGGAAACCCTAAAGAATAGTTGTTCTATACAGTAGACCCTTGACTTACAAACTCAGTTTGTTCCTGGGGGTTGGTTGTAACTCAAGTTGTTAATTGAATGTTCCAGCTCTTCTACAGTCATCAAAGTCTCTCCTATATAAAGGCAAATCTCTGTGTCTTTGGAGAGACATTGGCCCAGGATTTCTCAGTTAACCCATCTAGGAAAGGTGGATGTAATGTTACTTATAGAACTCCCTAACGTTTAAGTCTATATTGGAGACCATGTAGATGAGGACAGCTTGGGTTATGACTGGAATTTTACTTTTAACTTACGAATGAACAGTATCTTGAGTTATGACCTGAATGTTTGCCACTCGTGCTTCCAAATCTGGGTGAATTAAAACCCACCTGTCTACCCCTTCAAAATGCATATTTTCTTTTCTTTTGTTGTGTCCAGGTTCTGTGATCTGCAACCTGGTTTCCTTGGCTCTTGTGAAGGTGCTTTCATGTGTGGATAGTCATTAAAATTAGTGTTTTTAGGAAATGATTGTTGGCTCTCTCTTTTTTCCTTGAGACAGGATCTCCCTCTGCAGTTCAAAAATGGATTGAACTCATGTTGTAGCCCAGGCTGGTCCTGAGCTCTCATCCATCCTCCCTCCTCAACCTCTTGAGTGCTAGGATTATAGGCATGCACCACCACGTCTGGCCACTACTCCTTTCTTAAAAAAAGTTTTTAGTGGCTTATGCTTTTAGTGATGTATCTTTGAAATCTTTGTCTAACTCAAAGTCCCAGATATTTAAGGTGTCATTTATTTACAATGTTTATTTCTAACTCATGAACTGAAAACTTTTTATATGTATGCATTCAGGCAGAATTTTGAATTCACACGATTAGGTCCTATTCAGAAAATAATGCTTCTCACTATTTATTATAATTTCTATTCATATCCTTTTTTTCTTTTAGTACCAGCTCATCAAAAAAAGAGAGACAACACACTGTTTGATATTCACAGATCTCCAGCCAGAAGAAGCCATATCAGGTATGTTTTGTTTTGCTTTGAAAGAAGGGAATGTATTGCGCATTTACATGAGAGAATAGGAGATGAATTGTGGTTTTTTTTTTTTCTCCCCTGCCATCCTCCCCCCCCCCCCATTAAAGGCTAATAGTTATTATACTATATGTGACTTTTACCTTTTTTAGGTTCTCTATTTGTCTTAAAAAATTGTTTTAAATATTATGTTTGTTATAGCCATACATCTCTTTGGTATCTTACTGAGACTAAATGAGTGAGGAGATCTGTGGTGTGATTTTTTTTTTTTTAAGCACTAATTCAGTTTTTTTCAGATTGATCTTACATTGTTGTACAGGCTGACCTCTAGTGCTGGGCTCAAGTACTCCTCTTGCCTCAGCCACTTGAGTAGCTTGGACATTACTCACTCGATACAGCACTATCCTAACTAGTTAGTTCTTTGACACTGCTGGTTTCCTCCTCTTCCCCACTCCTCCCCTCCCCTTTTCCTTATTGCCCTTTCTTGTACTAGTAGATGTACATGTTTGTGTTAATTTTTTTCCCCCCAGTACTGGTGAGTTTATCAAACAGTCTTTCACATGAGTAGGTTTATGGGTGATTGCAAAGATTACCTAGGAGTTGAAATGCCTCTCTTCTTTTTTTTTTTTTTTTTTTTTGAGACAGGGTCTCACTATGTAGCCCAGGTTGTCCTTGAACTTACTTATGTAATCTCTGGAGAGATTCTTGCTATATAGTATAGATTGGCCCAGATTTGTTATGCAGTTCATGGTGGGCTTAAACACATGATCCTCTTTGCTCAGTCTCAATGTCTGAATTATAAATGTGTCTGACCACACTGTGCTATAACTTTTTAAAATTCAAATATTTTGTATATTTTATAAGAAATTCATACAAGGTAGGCCTATCTTAAATGCAAAGCGAGTCTATATTCCTGTAAACAAGTATATCATTTTCTTTAATTTTTAAAAAATGCCTGAACCATTCATTTCTCTCTATTTGGAACAGGAAGGCTTTCTCTTCTAGGAGTCTGTTATTTATAGCAGTGATAGATACTCTTTACTTTTTTTTTTTTCCTTAATATATTTGGCATAGGGTCTCACTATACAGCTTGGATTCATAGTGATCCTCCTGTTTTCAGCCTCCCCAGAGCTGGAATTACGAGTGTGCACCACTATATCTGGTCTCCATGGCAGGCTCAGCACACCTTGCGGTGGACCTGGCGCAGCCTGTGGTGGTGGGGATCAAACCACAGTCTTTGCACTTGCCTAAGCAGGTGCTTAGTCTGCTGAGTTATCTTGACAGCACTATTCTTTTTTTTTTTTCCTTCAGTACCGGGGATCAAACTCGGGACCTTGCACTTGCCAGGCAGGTGCTCGTGCTGCTGAGCTATATCCTAGGCCCTGCCAGCCCTACTCTTTACATTTAGATGCAAATTAAATTTATTGTTTGAATACCTTTCTGAATTATACCTTATTTGAAAAATTATGTACTTTTATTCTTTTATTCCTTTCTCTGAAGAACTTGCTATCTTTATAGTTTGTAAACTTCATGGATGCAGAATTTTTTTTATATTCGAGGGCAGAAATCTTTTTTTTTTTTTTTATGCATTTAGTACAGGGTCTACAGGGTCTCACTATATAGATCAGACTCATAGTGATTCTCCTGTTCTCAGCTTCCCAAGTGCTGGGATTATAGGCGTGCCCGGGGGTGGGGCTGGCAGCCAGCCAGGGATGGAACCCCAGTCCCTGCGAGGGCAGAAAAATTAATAAATACTTGCTTGCTGACTGAATGTTCTCCTGAGCTAATTGAAGATATAATGCTAATGAGATACAATGAGTTAATGAAGACATGTTTTTAAGACCCATTTGCTATTATGCTGTTAACTTTGCTCATTTTCCATAGGAGAAAGAAACATGCCATTCATAGCAGTGACACAACTTCTTCTGATGAAGAACGGTTTGAAAGAAGGAAATCAAAGAGCATGGCAAGAGCACGAAATAGGTTAATAAACTTTTAAATGTTATTTCTATATGAGGAAAAATAAAAAAGTTTTGCGGGAAACAAGTTCTTTTTTCTTTTTGTATTTTAGGGAAGGGTCTACAGAGTGTTCAGGGTCTTACTACTAGATCAGACTTGTAGTCATTCTCCTGTTTACATCCCCCGAAGTGCTGGGATTACAGGGGTGCACCACCACGCCCAGTGTCTCCATTGCATCTCCGCTTGCCCTGGAGGCAGAGCTGGCATGGCAGGCCCAGGAATTGAAACCTTGGCCCATGTGCCTGCTTGCAGGAGCTTTAATCTGCTGAGCTATTTAGCCGGCCCTTGTGCAAAGCTATTTGGCTGGCCTTTCTTTTTGTCTTTTTGTTACAAGGTTTGTATAGTCCAGGTTGCCCTGGAACTCACTGTGTAGCCCATTCTGGCCTCAAGCTCAAAGCGATTCTCCTGCCTCAGCTTCCTTAGTGCTGAGATTATAGGTGTGCACCACCTTGCCTGGCCCAAGTTTCTTAACTTATTATTAGACTTTTCCTAAGGTTGATGTTCATCATATTTTCAGACTTGAATAATGCAGTGATTGGTTTCTACGTTATAGTTCTTGGATTGGAACTGTAACCATGGGAAATGTCACCTAAATTAATTAGTCTGTAGGTACTCATGGTCACATAGTAATGTGGGAGAGGCAAAGGGAAGCAGCTGGGGGCAAGAGCCTATCCTACTCTATGTGCCAGTGTCCATCTTTCCAGCTAAACTTTGCCTCACATCCACCTCCACTTAATTTTGCTGGCTTATAATGAATGCATCTGTTCCCCACAAAACTTTTTTCTTTTTCCTATTGCAAGATAGGATTTCTGACAGAATTATCTCAGAAGCTATTGGAGTTTTCTTAGAAGATTTTGTTTTGTTTTTGTTGTTGATTACCTTGAGTGTTCTTTGCTTAATGAGGGGAATTGATTAAAATACTACATGGCTCACTGAAACCTCAACAGATTTTCACACAGAGTTTTTTGTCTAATAAATGGTCAAACTGTCAAAATAATTCTTTTTTTTAAAAACTTGAGTTATTTCTTGCTAATTTATAGTAACTTAGCCTACATTTAGCAAAGTATTCCTATAATTTGGCCTCATGTATCTATTATAGAAATATGAAGTGTTTATTTTTTTATTATTTTTTTTTTCTAGTCCTTGTTATTGTTTCCTTTATTTTGTCAGACAAAGAAATATAAAGTGTTTAGTTAGCAGGTCTTCATATCAGGTTTGAATTGATGTAGATTATAAACTAAAAACAATCCATTATGGATGATGGAAAGATTATGCAAGAGAATAATCTAAGTTCTTTTATTTCTACATTGTTGCACTGTGTTGCCCAGGCTAACCCTGAATTCTGTCTCAGCCTCCTGAATTGCATTTTTTTTTTTTTTTAAGTGGCAATTGTGGGTATTGAATCCTGGGCCTTATGCATATGCAGGCTAGTGGTTTACCACTGAGTCAAGCCTCAGTTTCTGAGTAGCTGGGATTATAGACATAGACCTTAGCTAAATATAAATTTAAATAAAAATTTATTACTGATTATATTTAAAATTATTTTTCTTAGTTATTAGCTTAATGATTTTTGGGTCAGAGAGGTGCACTTGAAAAATTCAGTGAAATTACATTTACCTTGAAGCTTTATTATTATTATTATTATTATTTTTAACAGAGTCTCACTGTATAATGCAGGCTGGCCTGGATCTTCTGGTATCCTCCTGCCTCAACCTCCTGAGGGCTAGGTTTACCGATGTGTTCCACCATACCTGGTGAAACAATAGTGTATTGAGGCTGTTTATGTCATACTTCGGTATTCACTTGTACAATTGTGTTTCCTATTATAATAACTAAATCTTAAACAAGACATGGTATCTAAAAAATAGATGTTTGCATTATATTTTACAGATACTAAATTAACATCATTATTATAATTTAATTTACGCTCAAATATTATGTGACTATGTCCTTTCAGTTTATATGACTGGAGAAATTCATTTCTATTATGTAACAAAAAAGAGAAACTTCTGGATCACAACATCTTTTTTTTCCCCCCACATCCCATTTTTATTTCTAGATAAAATCTATTCTTGTTTTCAAAGTAGAGTTTTAAGCATCCATTTTTCTTAAGCCATAATCGAGGAAATCATGGTTAGTCTTGGAGGTTCTCTCTCTTCATCTTGTACCAAAAAAAATACAGCAGATTTAATATTGGCATTCATCATCTGTCAACCCCTTCACACATCCTTGAAATGAATCAAATTTGGAATTCTCAGCATTTTCTGCATCAATAAAATAAGGTGTGGAATTAGGTTTCTTCCTTGCCACACTGGACTTGTAATCACCATTTGGACTGGGTTTACAAGATGGGGAAGTAGAGACATTTCTTGGCCAGAGTCTCTAACAGTACAGATGTAGAAGAGAAATTGAGACCACAAGAAGGCTGGCTGTTGACTGTAGGGTATCACTGTCTGCCTTCGTGGTGGCATTAGTTGGATTTGGGATAGTAGAGGTGTTCTGGGAGTTGTTACCTGAAAGTGGCATGGCAACGGTTTGGTTTGAATAAATCTGCGTGGGTAGGAGCAGTGTCAGGAGCAGCAGCCACAGTCCCAGCCCCAGCCTAACCACCATAGCTGTGCCCATGTCCGCTCTGTCGGTGCGTGGCGTGGTTTGCTGGAGGCCGGGTGTTCAGAGGTCGGTCAGCTCGGGCGGGCGCAGGGAGGTGGGATCACAACATCTTGAGAATTAAGCTTTATCTTTTGCACAATTACCTGCAGAGAGTTAACTGTCTAAATCCTACACTTCATTATTTTAATTGTACTATTCTCTGAGATATCTTTCTTTGGGTAATGCCTATGGTTCAGTTGTGCTTTGGCCCCCAAAGATCCATCCCTGTGTGGGAAGCTTGATCCTTGGCATAGTATTGTGAGGAGTAGAGCCTTTAAGAGGCACAGCTTGATCAGATGTCTTCTCTCTCTGTGGCCACATACTCAAAGAGCTCATGTGAGACCAGTCAGTTTCCTTTGTGCTCACGTGACCTCTCCTTCCTGCACGTGCCCCTAACACAATGCCATCTGCCGTGATGTGCCACAGCTAAGAGACCCATTACCCAGGCTGGCATTGTACTGTATGATAGCTGTTTGATATGAGATATCAATTGTATTATTTTTTAAAAATTGGAATAGTTAGAACCTTTTGGGCAAACATTTAATGTTGTTTGCTTTATCTAATAGTAAGTATAATTTTGGTCAGTTGAATTCAGGAAAAGTAGTTTAGAATATGAAGTTCTTTGATGTTATTTTCTGGGTTATGAGAAAAAGCAGAAAGATGAAAATAAGTCAGAGATTTCAACATTAAAAGGATGAAACTTTAACACTACTAATTTGAGCTCTTATAAATTCCAGATGTTTGCCTGTGAACTTCAGAGCAGAAGACTTAGCTGGTGGTATTCTCCGAGAACGAGTAAAAGTGGGTGCAAGTTTGGCTGATGTTGACCCAATGAACATTGACAAATCAGTAAGTTTTGCAAATATTTTTCTAAAAGTACCTTTTTCTATTTTTTAAGGATTTTCCGTGTTTCTATAAGTATACATAATAAGTTAAGGAAGTTAGGTTGAGGGCTGTGAGTGGGAGGGTCCCATAAACCATGATACAGCATGGGATATGGTATGAGACTGCTTGGTTTTATAATTAGATTTTCATTTTAGGTAGATCACTCTGGCTGTGATGTTGTTAATGAATTTAAGGGAAGGAAGGTTAGCATTACAGAGATGGACTTAGCTGTTATTTGTAGCCTGTAATCACAGTGATTGTCATAGTAGAAAGTAAGGTGGCAGAGATAAGAAGTAATACATATGGGAAATTGAGGATTCAATTCAAATATAATGAGTTAATTGGTTTTGGAGAATGAAAAAAGTTGAGGGTTTTGTTCAGGTTTCTGGCTTAGTGACTAGGTAGATAATGAATAGAGGGGGCCAAGGAGATATCTCTGTAGAATAAGTGCTTGCCTGGCAAGCGCAAGGGCCCGAGTTCAATCCCCAGTTCTGCAAAAAAAAAAAAAAAGATTGAGATAATGAATAAACTGGATGATAACAACAGATAGCTTCATTATCTGAGTAGAGTTGATAAGAGAAGAAATAGAAGATTGTTTAATTGTGGACATTCTATTGGTATTGGTGGCATATGACAAGAAGTAACATACAGGCAATTGGTTGTTTAGGTTTGACATTAAGAAAGAAATATCTGGACTAGGATTTTGGTGTGGATTGTTGATAAAAAGATGGAAAATATGCTAATCTACCCAAGGAAAAAACCTGGCATGAAAATAGTTATAGGATTTAGAAGACATGATTATTTCTCACTGTTAATAATATTATCTTGTTTTGGCAGCTAGCTTGGAACAAGATTACTGCATAGCCAAAAACTTGATATTTTTTCTTGTTCCCATTCATTTTTTTCTTTTTTCTAAATGTATTTGGTGTAGGGTCTCACTGTGCAGTGTGGAGCTCATGGCTTGGACTCATGGTGATCCTCCTGTTTTCAGCTGCCCCAGTGGTGGGATTACAGGCATGTGCCACCACTCCCTGTCTAGGGTGTCAGGCCCAGCATGCCCAGGGGCAGGGCTGGCTCTGCTTGTGGTGTCAGAGATTGAACCCAGACCCTGCGTTTGCCTAAGCAGATGCTTAGTCCACTGAGCTGTCTCGCAGCCCCCCATTCATTTGTATATGCAACATAATTTAACTGATATTTATGTGAAAGATTTAAAGGAAATCATCAAATATGTGTCTATTTACAAAGGAAATTTTAACAATCTCCACTTTGAATTCAGAGCTTAAGATGTTTGCTTTATTAATAAAGCTCTAAGGAAATTTCAGAGTATTAAATATGTTCAGCATTAAATATGTCCAGAATCTCTAGAAACTATTACATTTTCTTAGCAGACCTTACCTTGTACTCTTTGCTTATTTGGTTTATCAGTAGTATCTCACTCTCTTGGATCTCTGAAGTTTAGATACCTTTTCCAGTCAATTAAAATAACTTATGGCTTAAAATTTGACATCATGTACACGATAATTTAGTTTCTTTTATTAACCTTACTTAAATTTTGGAATTTACTCAAGATTTTGCTGTCATAATACTGTATTCATTGTAAAACATTTTGAAGTAGTGTAACAGAAAAAAATCTTTTAGCTTGTTTAGGCTATTGGGGTTGAAAAGAACAGTTCTTATGATACATCAGTGTTATTCTAGCTGTGTTTTTATTGTTGTCCCATTGAGAAAAACTAAAATTCCTCTAATTAGAAATTGATTATTTCTTTTAAATATTAAACACTAAGTTTTTTTTTTTTTTTTTAAGTTTTGGTTTTATTTTTTGAGGCAGGATATCACTATATAGTTTAAGCTGGCCTTGAATTTATTGTGTTGCCCAAGCCATTCTTGAACTCATGGCAGTCCTTTGCCTGAGCCTCGTGAGCACCAGGATTACAGGCTTGCAGTGCCATGCATGGCAGGAGAATTAATATTTTTGAGGGGTTAGATTGAGCCTTTGAGGTCCAGAAATCATTGTAATAGCTAATATTTTCTTGCCTTACTCTTGAACCAAGTTTTGCCTCATGGTGGATAATGTTGCCCCTGTACGAAATATATATTTTGAAAGGCATTTAAACTGTGAGAAGATAGATACAACATATTCTGTAGATCTTCATTAAGGTTTTAGGCTGGACAGTAAGCTTGTTCCTGAGTTGTTTATTTAAATAAAGGTACTTTATTTGAACTAAAATCTAAACTTGAATTTTATTAATTTTGAACACTTATTTGGGTATAGTTACATCCAAAATTGCTGTTGAAAGCAAGTATTTCTGAATTCTAAAACTGTTTCATGCATTTAGAAAATTCTATAAAACATAACATTATTTTCTAGTAAACATTTTTTTCCCCTTTCCCAAGGTACGGTTTGATAGCATAGGTGGATTGAGCCATCATATTCATGCACTAAAGGAGATGGTAGTATTCCCACTGTTGTATCCAGAAATCTTTGAAAAATTTAAAATACAGCCTCCACGGTAAGTAATATCTTAAGATGTGTTCTACACATTTATATTTTAGAATTTAGGAATCAGCTACAAACAGAAATGCTTTATGCAGGCCCTGAATATACAACTGGATGCCCAAATGGATTTTCCTGAGTTTGGATTTTTTTTTTTTTTTTTTGGTAGACAGGGTCTCACTATACAATTCAGCCTGGCCCTAAACTCACTATGTAGCCCAGGCAATCCTCCTGCCTTGGCCTCCTGCATCCTGGGATTACAGATGAGCACCACCATGCGTAGCTCTGAGTTTGACTTCTGATAGCATCTGGTTTTATGCTACACTGTTTAGTGTTGGAAACACAATTTTTTATTGGTGTGTTTCTCTGACATGGTGAATGGGGACTTTTGAAATAGGGGAAAGACTGACAATTTACAGTATTTTTATGATCAGCTCGTGCCTAATTATTAGATTATATTAAGAGAATTTAGTGTTGAAAAATTGTTAAAATTGGGCAGAATAAAGATATTCTGAAAATATAAAACATAGATTGTTAGATTTAAGCTGATGGATGCTCTCATTGAGGAGTTATTTTTATTCAAATTTGATTCTTACTTTCCTTGTGTTTAAGTATATGGAAAATCTTGTTAAAGAGTCATCTAGTTTGGCCTGTTTTGTTTTAAGCAAAATCTCATTGTAGTTCAGGGTGTCTTGGAGGTCACTGTGTTGCTCAAGCTGGCCTCAAACTCCTCAGTGCCAGCGATCTTCCTGCCTTAGCCTGTGAGGTAGCATATAATACATATTTTAAGATTTGAAATTTCTGGGTTACAGGGAAACATTAAAGAGTTTGATATCTTGTGCAATAGCTCTGTATTTTTAACTGTGTTTTACCTACCAAAGTTGGTGCTTTGAGGTCTCAGCACAGTGGAATTCTTTACTTATATATAGGAAAGAGCTTTATCATTACCTAGTAATTATAGCATATATTAACCCAAAATTGTATGGAGGTAGGGAGGTCCTTTTGAATTGGCTGTCATTGGTGATAACATTTATTTTCTCCTATTTTTTTAACTCTATTCCACTAGGGGTTGTTTGTTTTATGGCCCTCCTGGAACTGGTAAAACCTTAGTTGCCAGAGCATTAGCTAACGAATGCAGTCAAGGAGATAAAAAAGTCGCTTTTTTTATGCGAAAAGGAGCAGACTGTTTGAGCAAGTGGGTTGGTGAGTCTGAAAGGCAACTTAGGCTCCTGTTTGATCAGGTAAGAGGAATCACTAATTCAACAGTATCCTTAGAACAGTAATGCATTTTTGTCTGGAATTACTGCTTACGAGGAGGCATAGATTGTATGAAATTTAGGATCAAAAAGCTCAAATTCTATGCTTTAGGGATATAAGCATCCTCATTGTTCATAGGGGATTGATTTTGGGATCCCCTGAGGATACAAAATTTGCAGATACTCAAGTTCCAATGTAACATAATGTGGTATTTGCATTGAGCCTGCATATCCTTTAGTGTGCTTTAAATTCTTGTGGGATTACTTACAATAACTATACAATATAAATAGCTTTGTTTTATTTAAGGAGTGAAAGCAAGAGGGAAAAGTCTTTGTATATGCAGTATCGATACTGTTGTTTTTCCTCAAACATTTTTAATCTTCAGTTGCATCTGAATGCAGAACTCATGGATATGGCAGGATGAGTGTATTTAATAGCAGTTTTACTAGTATTTTGAATATTTATGATGATTGTTGAGGTGTCTTCCAGATATATTAATACCATGTTAGGTGCTTTTGAGTTGCCAGGTGTAATTGTTACATTATAATCTAGTTGAGAAAATACAGTGATCCCTTGGTTCACAAACTTTATTCTTTCCTTGATTCTGCCTGCAAACTGAGTGGGACAGTGAGAACAGAATTGAATTCAGTGGTTAGCTTCAGTGTTGACCTTGTGGGCCAGTTTGATTTGATTCTCTTCCAGTTTACTTTGTGCCCAGGTTGTGGAGAGAATTGAGCTTAAGAACCAAGATACTGCATAATGATGCTGCTTTCTATGGAAGAAAAACTCAAAAAGCAGTATATTTTTATGAAATCTCTATTTTTGTTATTATAACAAAATACATAAATTATAAAGATATGAGGTTTATTTTGGCTGATGGTTTAGGAGGGTACAGTCAATGACTGATCATGTCTTTTGCTTTGAGCCTTTGATGAGGTAGCACATCATGTAAGAGCACATGGCAGAACAAAACCACTCACCTCTTCAGCCAGGAGGCAAAGGGGGAAGAGAGAAAGATGCCAGGGTCCTAGAGTCCTTTTCAAGGGCCTTTGCCTCCATGCCTCAGGGCCTCCCACAATGCTCATCCCTTCAAGGTTTCTCTCTCCTAACTTAAGTACCATTGGTGACCAAGCCTTTAAGAAGTGTACTTTTAGGGGATGCTTAAAATGTAGCAAGTGGTCAGTAAGTTGCTGAAAGAATGTAGAAATAAATGGTTTTAAAGGCAGAGTGAGGTAAGTGAATGTTGTATAAGCTGTTTATACTATTTATATGTAACAGTAACTTTTGTTTTTTGAGATAGGGCTTTCCTTTGTAGTTCAGGCTGGCTTTGAATTTAATACATAGTCCATGCTAGCCTTGAATTTACAGTAGTTCTGCCTCAGCCTCCTGAGTATTGGGATTATAGACATATCACTACATCTGGCAAGAGTAATTTTGAAAATGTTTTTTCCAAAGTTGGTTAGGGAAGGGCTGGTGGAGATAGCTCAGTAGAATAAGTGTTTACCTGGCAAGCGCAGGGTCCTGAGTTCAATCTCCGGTACTGGGGAAAAAAAGAAGAAAGTTGCTCAGGGAGGTACATGGTAGTCCCAGCTGCTGGGGAGGCCAAGGAATATCAAATGCTTGAGATCGGGAGTTCAGTTTTGGGTTGGACCATATAGCAAGACCCTGTCTCAAAAAAAGAAAAGTAACCCCCCCAACTCCTATTTTTCTATGCTGTATTAATTTAATTTTAGTATAAATTTACGTGTGATGATTTGGTGAAAGAAAGCTGTGCTATTTGGCAATTCAGTTCATAGTAGTTAAGCCTAAGAAAATAAATATGAAGTCCAAAATGCTTTCAAGCATTTCTTGTTTTTTTTTTTTTTTTTTTTTTGTGAAGGTATAATTTACATATCGTAAATGTCACCCTTTTTTTTTTTTTTTTTTTTTTGGTGGAACTGGGGATTGAACTCAGGCCCTTGTGCATGCCAGGCAAGTGCTTATTCTACTGAGCCATCTCCGCAGCGCTCAAGCATTTCTTGAGTGTCAAAATTAGTTGATGTCTGTGAAAGCCCTTTCTAATTGTTAAAACAATTCAAGTTTTATTGGAAAATTGTTAGTAGTATAAAAACAGCAAAGTTCTAGATAATAGATTTAGATAGAAGTTAGGTTCAATGCTTACTTTCAGCATGTTCATTGTCTAGTAGCAAATCAAACAGTAATCTGAGCACATCAAGAGAAATTAATAATGGAAATATACAAATACAAAATAACATTAGTAGAATAGGGAAGAATAGAGGAATCGTGTCATATTGCCCAGTGAGGTTATTTAACTTTTTTTGTCGGTTTTGCTTTGTAGTAATTTCATGCTGAGGATATGAGTATGTTTTGGTTTTATTTAAGCATTAAATCACATAACTTCCTTTGTCTAAATTTATTTCAGTATCATTGTTTTCATGATATGAAGAGATAGATGAGGTGTTTGCTTTTATTTTTTAAAACCTGCTTTTAGGTATGACTCTTAAATGGTAAAGATAAATCTTGTGAATTTATGTGGAAGCTAATTGTGATATATTGTTTTATATCTTTAAAAAAGATGAGACCCTGGATCCTGACCCCCAACACAGTGTAAACAAAACAAACATTTATAAAAAGTAGTCACATGGTAAAACAAATGTGTAGAGAGGGGTATCTTTCATGTTTAAAGACACATTACCATCTTTATGTTGAAATGCCTTCAGAAGACTAAGGAAATGCAAAATAGTTGTTTATTAGGAGTTCTTGTGGTTGAATTGGGTGGTAAGGAAATTTCCTTTTTAGTACATACTTTTGTACTATGTGCTTATATTAGGAAATACAGTAATTACATTAAAATGCAAAAATGACAGTAAATACTTTCTTTTTTACTAGGCATACTTGATGAGACCTTCTATAATATTTTTTGATGAAATAGATGGACTAGCTCCAGTTCGATCTAGTAGGCAAGACCAGATCCACAGGTAATTCTTTCTCATCTGGCTATGTTGACTTCTTTTTCTCTTTTTCTTAGTTTAGTCTTAGCATGGCTATGACCTTAAAAATTTAACCTGTCTTTGAGAAACACTTCTTTCACTTAGTGCAGGATTCTGTAAGCTATGTCCTTTAGGCCACATGAAGCCCTTGGCTTGTTTTGGTAAATGAATTTACAGGGGAACACAGCCAAAGTGATTCTATGCTGTATTAATTTAATTTAGTATAAATTTACATGTGATTATTTGATTAGTGAAAGTGTGGCTTTTGTGCTGTAGGAGCAGGTATATGAATAGTTTTGATGGAGACATTGTATGACTTGCAAAGTCTAAAACATTTACTTTTTGGCCCTTTATACAAAAAGTTGCCTAATTCCAAATGTGCATAATGCTTTGAGATGTATCTTATGTGTAGTAATATTTTGTTCATATTTGTTTCTTACTGATATTCCTTGATGTTTACATGTGTGTATGTACCTCAGTTTATCTACCATCAGGTGGAGGTTTATTTTTATTTTCGGCTATTATGATAATGCTGCAGTGACTACTGCTGTACGTTTCTGTGTGAAAATGTCATTTCCTTTCTGTTGAGTAAACCCCTAAAACTATTTCATTTTCCTGTAATACATGGAAATCTGTGTTGCTCCTCATGCTTATTAATACCTAGTATTGTTATTCTCTTTAACTTTAGCTATTTTAGTGTGTGCATAGTAGTGGATTTAATTGTTTTTTCTGATGATGAATATTGAGCATTTTTGTTTATTGGTCTTTATATTTTTGTGAAATATCTGTTAAAGTATTTTGCTTTTTTAAATCAGATTGGGTGTGTTACTGTGCTTTTGTGTTTATTTTGTATCTTGAGACAAGCTCTTTGTTAGGTCTGTTTTTAAAATATATTTGTGTATTTTTAAAATTTAATGTAATTTAATTTTTTAGCAGGACTGGGGATTGAACTCAGGCCCTTGCGCTTGCCAGGAAAGTGCTTATTCCACTGAGCCATCTCCTTGGCCCTATATTTGTGTATTTTTCTATGTAAAATATTTCTAGGTTTTGTTTTGTTTCGGTTTATTTTTTTTTGAGACAGGGTCTCACCATGTAGTTCAGGCTAGCCAGGCAATCACTGTTTCCCAGGCTGGCAATCTTGCCTCAGCCTCCCAAGAGCTGGGATTACAGGTATGCATCACCACACCCAGCTTAAAATATTAAGTATTGTATGTTTAGGTCATTTTGTTTTTTCCTTGTGGTGATATGGGGGTTGATCCCCAGTAAGTACTATACTACTTAGCTACATTTCTAGGTATTTTTATTCTATGAGTCCCATTCTTGCTAAGTTGCCCATGTTGTTGTTTAACTTGTTTCTTACTGCTTTATTCTCATAACTAATTGGGGTTACAGATGTGTGTCACTGTGTCCAGCTAGTTTTAGGTGTTAACATTTAAGTCAGCGATTCATTTTAACTAAATATTTACATATCAACATGAGGTAAGGATTTGAGTTAATTTTTATAGGTTGTTCAAGTTATGAAATGAAGTCCTTTTTTTAAATACAGATTTATTAGTTCTAGGACCATTTGTTTAAAAAATTACTTTGTCTCTATTAAGTTCCTTGGGGTTTTGTAACTAGTAATTAGTTTATTAGATAAGAGTGTATGTTTTCCTAGATTTTCTTTTTAAATTTTATTTTATTTTATTTTTTCTCTTCAGTGCTGGAGATTGAACGTAGTCTTTTCTTTCTTTTTAAGGGAAAGGTCTACAGGGTGTTCAAGGCCTCACTACTAGATCAGACTTCTAGAGATCCATCTGTTTACAGCCTCCCAAGAGCTGGGATAACAGGCATGCACCACCACGCCACTCTCAATTGCCGTCTCAGGGGTGGGGCCAGCTTGGCTGGCCTGAGGATCAAACCCTGGGTCCCTGCGCCTGCTTGCAGGTGCTTTAATGAGCTGAGCTATTTAGGTGGTCCTTCTTTTTAAATCTTAAAAATATTTTTTTATTTATTTGATACAGGATCTGGATACATAATTCAGACTAGTAGTGGTCCTCCTTTCTCAGTCCAGTGCTGAGATTATAGTAGTGCACCACCAGGCCCAGTTTCAGGACCAGCATGGTGTGCTTGAGTTTTTGGGGCCAGAATGGCATGTGGTACCAGGGATCAAACTTGGGACCTTACACTGGCCAGGCAGGTGCTTAGGTCGCTGAGCTCCTAGATTTGTTCATTCCATTGATTTGCACATCTGTTCTTATGCCACTGCCTTGATTTTTATAGTGTTTTTAAAAAATTGTTGGATTCAATTTTATAATGATTGAAATAGTAATTTTTATTATTCATGCATAGGAGAGGCTGAGGAGTCCATCATGAACTATCATACACATGTAACTATTTTACAACACCTGTCTTTGGTTGTACAGTTGGGTAATTTTGATCTGTATTTGATGAGACCTGTTTCTTTCTCTTCTTTTCTGCAAATGTTCCTATGAGTTTTGTATTATTCATTCCATGTGTTTGGGAAAACTTACCACTGAAAATGTCTAGCTTCTGAGTTTTCTTTGTGAACAGGTGTTTTATGTTTTTTTTTTTTTTTTTTTTTTGCGGAACTGGGGATTGAACTCAGATCCTTGCAAGCGCTTATCCTACTGAGCCATCTCCCTGGCCCCCGGTAAACAAGTCTTTGATTACAAGTTAAATTTTTGTACTTGTTACAGGACTGTTCCAAGATTTCTATATATTCTCGGGTCAGTTTTTGTATTCTTGGCTCAGTTTGTAATAGTTTCTTATCAGCAACTGCTAATCTTTTTCACTGTCTCCATAATTTTGCCTTTTTGGGAATTTAATATATTTGAAATCAGGTAAATAGCCATTTCATTTTGGGTTTTTTGTTTTGTCTTTTTTTTTTTTTTTTTTTTTTTTTTTCACTCAGCAACATGCAGTTTATGTCCTTCCCTATCTTTTCTTTATCCTTTAAATTTATTTCTTTTTTCCATGTGGAAGCTTTGAATGTGATTGAAACTTTTTAAAAAAATATAGATATTGCAAGCACATTTTTCTCTAAGCTACTTTAAATATATTCTGTAGCTTTTGACATGCTATATATTCATTGTCATTTAGTTAAAAAATTTGATTCTTGTCATCATTTTTTAACACTGATACTTAGAAGTATGTTTAATATATAAAATAGTCTCATAAGCTCCCATCTTGTCCATCATAGTCTAGACTGCTAATAGTTCACCTCAACCCATAAAGGTCACTTGCACAACTGCCATGGACAGCCTGTTGTCACCCCAACCACATCTCGACCCAAGGGCATGCTGCCATCCACCATGTTCCATGTCTGTGGAATACAGCTACCATTTCTGGTATGGCCACATATATGCTCCACATCTGTCTCGACTACTCCCCCACAAGGCACCTTGATACAAAAGAGGAGAGGGTGTGTGTGTGTGTGTGTGTGTGTGTATGTAAAAGGTCTCCCTAGAAAGTTCAGGCTAGCTTTGAACTCACTGCAATCCTTCTGCCTCAACCTCCCAACTGCTGTGATTATAAGCATGTGCCACCATGCCCTGCTGATAAGGCCTTTTTGAATCTGCTGCACCATTTATATCACACCCATACCCATTGGATGCAGCTGAAATGCCAGGGAGAGAATATCCTGTGTCACACAGCTGGAAGCAAAGCTAGTGTTGCTTACCAAACTGACACTTAGAAAGGCCTGCAGGAGAAAACTGTTTAATCTGAAAGCCACCAAGTCACCTATGACAGTGTTGGAGATACCTAGTTTTTTGGATATGCAGATCTCAATACAAGGTTAAAACAAAACAAAACACCACAAAAACATAAAATACCAGGCAGTATGACACTTTTAAAACTATATAACTGTCAGATAACATTCCTCAAAGTAAGAAAATATTGTGAATGCCTGATAAAGAATTCCAAAACTATGTTTAAGAAAGCTGAATGAGGGCCAGTGAGATAGCCCAGCTGACTAAGCACCTGCCTAGGCAATGCAGGGGACCCAGGTTCGATCCCCGGCACCACATGCTTTGCAGGTGCCAGCCCCACCCCTGGGCATGCTGAGCCAACCACCAAGGCTGGGTGTGGTGGTGCTCACCTGTAATCCCAGCACCAGGGACGCTAAAAACAGGAGCATCATTATGAGCCCTACCTGAATAGTGAGACCCTGTACCAAATATATTAAAAAAAAAAAAAGTTTGCAAATCATGTATTTAATAAAAGTCTAGGGTTTAAATGCATAAAGAACCATTACAACTGAACAATGCAAAGACAAATAACAAGTATAAAACCAGGCAAAAGATTCTATACACATTATCACCCAGCCATATGGAAATGAAACCAAGTTTGATACTGCTTTAAATCCATAGGGATTACTATAAGCAGACAGGCAGATGTAACAAAGCTGATGACACTGTAGAAAACAAACAGAACACTCATATATTACTTGAAGAAACATAATATGGTGTCCCTCTTTGGAAAACAGACTGGCAGCACATCTACATTAAAAAAAGGACTTAAAAAATAAAATAAAAAAGGGACTTCATGCAATCTAGCAATAGCCAAAAAGAACTTATGTGTGTAAATTCATAGTAGCACTCTTTTGTAATAATCAAAATGTGTGAAGAAGCCAAATGTTTCTTAACAGACTGATAAATAAAATGTGGTATATCAATGCAATCAAAAATTGTTCCTCAGGGGGCTGGGGAGATGGGTCAGTAGAATAAGTGCTTACCTGGCACAGGCAAACTCAAGGGCCTGAGTTCAATCCCTGGTTCCACCAAAAACAAAGAAAAAAAATTATTCCTCAATAAAAACAGACAAAAATAGTGATAGATGCTAAACATGAACTTGAAAATATTCTAATTCAAAGAACCAAAGCATAAAGTCATATATCGTATAATTCCATTTATATGAAATATCCAAACTAGCCAGACTTTTAAAAATTCAAGTTCCATAGTAGTTGCTTAAGGTTTGGAAGGATA